TTTAAAACCCCTTTATCAAGGCATGGTTCAAATACAAAAAAGCTGTACATACTTAATGTATACCTCTTACACGTTTGGAGATGAGTATATAACTATGAAACCATCACCACACTCCCTGCCATCAACATATCCTTCAACTCCAAAAGTTTCATCCTTGTGTGTGTGTGTGTGTGTGTGTGTGTGTGTGTGTGTGTGAGAGAGAGAGAGAGAGAGAGAGAGAGAGAGAAGAACACTTACAATATCCACCCTCTCTTCCAAAGATTCCGGGTGATTTTTTTGGCAATGAAATTCTAGAAGCAGTGATGAAGGAGTGAATACAGTAAGGACCTCAACAATGATGGTACCAGGAAACCAAAGTTGGACTCATTAAGTCCAAAACAACAAATATCTTCTTTTGCAAGAACAAAAAATGTGGTGATGGTGAGACCTAGCAGTAAGATCAATGTATCACAGTTTTTCGTAGTGAGGAGAGTAAGAAGAAATGTGAGGGAGAAGAGGAGCGAATGACCAAACACTGAAAATTCTCTTTTGTGTTTATCAGAAGTTATTCTTAATAAACTAACTTTGGGTAAGAATTCTAATGTTCCAGTGATAATTTCTAGCTTTCACAGCTTCTACTAAAGAAAAATGTGTAACAAAACTGGTTTTCTGTTTATGTTATAGCTAATGCTTGTTATCTTGAGCCAGCAATATTACTAAAATCATCTAACAGGCATGTTCTGAGCCCCTCCATGAAAATTTTTTTATAGGTAAAACTTATAAAATATATTTTTAAAATATGGAGTTTGATCACTGGGAAAATACAGAGAACCTCAGCCTTCAAATATCTGGAGAGAAAGTGTTAAGCCATTTATGTATATATTTGTGTTTTGTTTTTAATCCTCGCCTGAGAACATTTTTGCATTTATCTTCAGATAGAGCAGGAGGGAGAGAAGGAGGAAGAGACAGAGAGAGAGAAACATCGACTTGAGTTAGACACATCCACTGGTTGCCACCCACACAACCCCAGCTGGGGCCCGGTACGTGCAACCAAGGTACGTGCCCTTAGCAGGAACCGAACCCGGATCTCTCTGGTCCATGGGCCGTCGCTCTAACCGCTGAGCCAAACCGGCCAGGTCTATATTTGTGCTTTAACTGATAGGTTTGCTGCTGTAATTTTCAGCAAAAACATAAATAATATTGTCTTATAAATTAAATGTGAATGTGCAGAAACTCTACTAAAAGCAGACTTAGATAAGTCATTTTACTGGATGTTATTTTAGACAATGAACAAAGAAATGTTCTTGTATTTTATTGAGCAAAATCTGAAGAGTTTTTATCTGACCTCAGCATAAAATTAGACTCACTATGAAAAAAAAAAGTTTTATAGTTTATCATTAATTTTCTTATTAAAATTTTTTTCATATTTACAGTTTTCTTCACATGTTTTGAATGTTCTTATCAAATGACATGTGAACTGAATGTAAAATACAAATTCACATATAAGAACATGTGCTTAACACCTCTGTGTAGTATGGTGCAGGGTATATTAGTTAGTAAACCAGGATTAAAACTCTTTGGCAAAGAAATTGAAACCATCCTCTTTTCTTTTAGGCAAATTTCCCTGGAATAAGATCTGCCCTTTACCACTGAAGACTGGCCAAAGCTCTCTGCCTTTGCGAACAGCTCCCCTAGTCCGATATGTTAACGACCTTTTTTCTCCATAATAAAAATATTCAGGATTTATTGACTGACCGAGGCTGTTAGCTTTTTAAGCTTTTATATTCTTTCCCTCTGTAGCTACCTTTTTAAAAACCATCAATCTTCAGAGCGGATGAAAATATGATCTGACACGGTGTTATAACCTGTTTATATTTCTCGGCTCTCACTCAGCCTTTCTTCCCACGCCCCGCACTGTGTGCGTGGGAACGAGCCCTGAGCGCTTCCAGACCGGCCAGCACCACGTCAAAGCAAACACAGGAAGGTAGCCCGGGTCAAGATCTAGTGGAAACACATCATTAATAAATAGCCATTTATGTACGTACATTGCCCTCCTCGCTTAGGAACCTCGGAGTTCTTCGTCAATCTTTTTTTGGGATGCAGCAATTATTACTTTTCTCCCACTTTTTCGAGAGCTACTTACTCTGTTTCCTTAAAACTCCACGTGATGAGACTCTGAAGCTTGAACACATGAATAATAGTATACGCTGGTATTTTTTTTTTAACCTTTAATTTTTAAAATTAATTTATTTATTTTTGTTACAGACGTTTCTCCTTTTCCCCCCACTGATTCCCCCCTCCCACTCCCTCCCCACCTTGTCCCCAGCTTTGTTGTCCATGTGCATTGTTCATGCATACATGCATATAAGTTCTGTGGTTTCTCTCTCCCCCACCACCCCCTCTTCTGGGGATTGTCAGTCTGTACCCCACTTCCACGTCTCTGGGTCTACCCCATTCCTCAGACTGTTATGTTCATTATATTCCACAAATAAGTGAGATCATGTGATATTTGTATTTTTCAATTGTCACATGTAGCTCCTCCAGTTTTTGTGGGGTTTTTTTAAGCCTAGTTGCCAATCTGCTTCCCCTTTAGGTGGATGAACAAAGGCAGACTCCCTCCTTCCCTAATTCTGCAAGTAACTTGTCACAGTGGGGTTCTAAGGCCTCGTCAAATAATTGTCTTAGTGTACTGCCTGCTGCGTTCAATATTGAGTGAAAATGGAAGCCAGGCCCCGACTCCAGTTTATGTGGCAATTCTTCTGTTATTTAAATGATTTTAGTCAGTTTGGGGGAAACCAGACCTTTATAAATTAACAGCAGGGAAATACCAAAGGTGTCAGATTGCATATTTATCATCTTTTTCGTGTAACACTTAAATATGTATTAAGAAGTGACTGACATAAATTAGGCAGATTTCGGAAGCCACAGGCCATGGCTTGTAGGGGACCCCCTCCTGCTTGACATTTCATCCTTGTCAAAGATCAAATTATTTTAATTTAGGCTGCAAATTATAAGGAATGAAGACTTCTTTGTGGGAATTCCCTGTGGTAATCTGACTTTTGTTGTTACTGCTGCTTGTCAGTGTGCAAAAGATATAATATGCATGCAAATAAGGTTAAAAAATATGTACTATCTAATTATCCAGCCAGTACATTCCACTTGAAGACAGTAGGAGGCCTGACACACAGTATGTGTTTGATTCATTGAGGCCTGCAGGGTATTTACACAAGATTACTTTTAATTATGAAATTAATATCTGTTTATCTAGAATATATAGTGGTAAGTGAGTATACACATGAGTAGAATTCTTTAGTAAGAAGAAATCATCTTAATTTAATACATGAAAAGGAAGGGGGGAAAATCACTTGTTTCTAAGGAGGGTGGGGGGAAGACATCATCCAGACCTTGGTTTCACCCTCATTGAAACAATTTGAATGAAAATTTGGCACCTTCTCTAGGATTTATTTCCAGCCCTGCCAAGTAGGCTCAAGATGAGATGCTTTGTTTCAGTTTTTACATTTTCGTGAACAAGGGCAGTATGAGGGTCAGTACGAGGAGGCAGATGTAGGGGGGGAAGGTTTCCTATTGGTTTGGTTTTTGTTTTTATCATTTTGGTCTTGCATTAGCTCTTCCAGGTTCAAAAACCGTGACTGCCATGAGAAAGATAATGATGAAGTTACTAGCAATGTCTCTTTTCTATGATGAGACATGATTCGTAGACAATCCCGCTGCAGACACCCTTCAAGTTATAAAATACATATTCCTAACAGAGTGGGTTTTTTGTTTTGTAAAATAAACCTGCATATTGACATCTCTGTTCTCATAATGACTTATAACTGAACATGGGAGAACAAAGTGTGGGATAGGGTCGTGATTTCTACCATCTGAGAAAGCTCAAAACCAGCGAGTGACCAAAGTACTGTGGAGCCTGTCATTCTCCTCGCGTGTCCATCCGTGGAAATGAACATGAAATTCAAACTAGTTTAAAACCGACAACCCTGACGATCACAAAGTGTAGTCTGTTCGCAAGTTTTGTATTTTTCAGACAAACAAAACAAATCTGCCTAATTAATGAATTAAAAAAAAAATTATTGTTACAGCAGCTGCAAGCAATGGTGGGTTGGTGATTACGCTTACTGCCTCTCTCGGCATTCCCCTCACTCAGCCTACCTGGTCCTCCGCATTCATTTATTTTATTTATTTATTTTCTCTATTGATTCTAGAGAGTGGAAGGGAGAGGGAAAGAGAGACAGAAACAACGATGAGAGAGAACATTGATTGGCCACCTCCTGCATGCCCCCCACTGGAGATCGAGCCCACAACCTGGGCATGTGCCCTGACCGGGAATCGAACCGGTGACCTCTTGGTGCATGGGTCAACGCTCAACCACTGAGCCACACCGGCCAGTCTCCACATTCATTTAGATAACTGGCTTATACTGCCTTTACACTGCATCTGAGACTTTTTCTAGACCAAAAGAAAAGAAACCATCCTTGCCTATGCTAATGTAATTCAGAGCTCTTGCAATGGCTGTTTTGTACTTTCTCTTTTTTCAAAAGTCTCTAAACCACTTCTGTGCAACCATGGATTATGAATTCTGTTTGTTCACTTTCCCCTAATAGTGCCTTGAAGTATGTCCTAATATAGGAGGCAGTCGTTAATATTTCCACCTAAAATTTGACCAGACCCCAGAATCAACCTTTTTGGAACACATTGGAAATTTATAACTTTTATATATGCAGATATTGATGTGTCTCCTTCCCAAAGGCTTTCTGTAAACAACGAGACACTGATGATTCAATCTGATCATTTTTAAAGACTGTGAATGGTAACAGGTTAATGTCAGTGTCTGCCTTCTATTTTATATTGACATTTAGAGTAAGTGTTGAAGTGTTCTTGAAAAGCTTATTTAGAAATGACAAGGTTATGGTTCTAAAGTTCTTATTAAAAGATAAAGAAATGCAAAAGGGAAAAAAGATAAAATATCTTACTATTTTTGTTCTTTTCTTTTTACTGATCAGTGTGACGGAGTACAGATAGATCTAATAAACATCTCTCTGGAAGGAATTGCTATTTTGAATATACCGAGCATGCATGGAGGATCCAACCTCTGGGGAGAGTCTAAGAGAAGACGAAGCCACCGCCGGATAGAGAAAAAAGGGTCCGACAAGAGGACCACGCTCACAGATGCCAAAGAGTTGAAGTTTGCAAGTCAAGGTAAATTTTCCAACATTCTTTGTGAAATTTCTCTTAATCTGCTTTTGAGAGCTACGTTAAAATTAAAACGTTGTCCATTGTCCCATTGTTTATACACTCATACAGTTGTATTTTTCATAATATTAGCTATGGATGTGTGGTTACATCCTATCATAATAGATTCTATAATCATGTATAAACTGGCTATGTTTTTCACGGATTTTTTTTCTCTTTTGGATCTCTACCTACAGACAACAAATACATGTGGCTACTTAGTGGGTAATCATATAGTGTATATTGTACACTAAATTCTGGAGTGTGATTACCTTGGTCAGGATGTTTGGGTTGTTCTCACGAGGGCCCAGTTAAGGCTTTTCTACGGTTGTTTTGTAAGATTTTTAAATTCTTGGCTTTGTTTGGTCAGGCTGTGACATTGAAGTATCTTATATTCAGCTATTGTTCTAAGTACCAAATATAATAGCATGTAAATCTCACACAGTAAATTTCATTTATCAGCTGTCATTGTCTCAGAAACTGAACAACTACATTTCGGAAACCTGGGGAACAGAGGGCAAGGGACTAATAAAATCAGATAGAATAGGTGTGGATCAGAATTTTCAAGTACCTTGTGATATATTTCATATCGGGACATGACAACCAACTCGTTAATAGATTTTATAAGCAGAGATAACAAATTGGTAGCTGTCTAGTAATTGATCATGTCCAAGTAACTTATGTGCGTTATCCATAGTATTTCTTTACCTTCCAGAGTCTACCTAATACCACTGATGGTATTTAGATGTCTAGGAAAACATATTGGCTCAGCTCAGTGTAAAGACAAAATGTGAAGTTGTTATAGCCTTATTATGGACCCAATAAAATAATAAGTATTTCTTTTAATAAATAAAATAAAATCTGAAGATGGGGGTAGGTTTGATGGTGATAGGAAATAGCTTTATGTTTTGGTGTCTTCAGGTGTCTGATTCAAGTTTCAGTAGCAGCCAGTGACTTCTGTGATGTGGAATTCAGTGACTATGAGGGTGACAAAGATGGATGGAGAAAGTATTAGATATTCTTTTGAAAGAAGTGCTTAGTACAACCTGCCAGTGACAAATGACAGAAGTCGTTGATGTCCCTTAAATGTGTAGATAATCCTAAAGAGAGGTACATCTTGAAAAGTGGTGTGATTTATTTATTTACTTGAAGTTCAAATTATATTTCACTCTCAGTAGTATCTTGCATTGGTTTTAGTTGTATAGCCTACTGGTTAGACAATCATATATATTTTACAAAGCTTATATTTCCAGTCCCCACCTGGCACCACACACAGTCATTGCAGTGTTACCGGCTCTGTTCCCTACGCTGCCCTTGTCATCCTCAGGACTGTTCTCTCACTACAGTCTGCACTTCCCAATCCCTTCACCTCTTGCTCCCAGCGCCCCAACCTTTCCCCTCTGCTAACCACCAGGCCACCCTCTGTGTTGATGAGTCTCTTTCAGTTTTGCTTGTCTGTTTATTTTTTTCTTTAGTTTCCACATGTCAGTGAAATCCTATGATATTTGTCTTTTTCACGAACTGACTTATTTCAAAAGTAGTATACTTTAATACAAGCAAGTTTATACCAAATTAATTAAAAGGCTTTATACTCAGAATGAATATAACTATATGAAAACATGGAGGAAATGGTTTTTTAAAGGAGACATACATAGCCCAGCCGGTGTGGCTCACTGGTTGAGCATCAACCCATGCACCAAGAGGTCGTTGGTTCGATTCCCAGTCAGGGCATGTGCCCAGGTTGTGGGCCCAATCCCCAGTGCAAGGCATACAGGAGGTAGCTAATTGATGTTCTCGCTCACCAGTGTTTCTCTCTCCCCCTCTCCCTTCCTCTCTCTCTAAAATCAATAAAGAAAAAAAATTTTAAAGGAGATATATGTAGAAAAAATTAATAGGTTTGTGCTCTATGAATTTAAAAATGAAGAGAATTAGATATTAATTTCTAAGAGTTATTGTGGTTAATATTATATTTATATTTAAATGTAACATTTACATATAAATGTAAATTTATACGAACATAAAAAATGTCCAAGTATTAAAATTAGTTCAAGGACTACACTGGGATCGAACTTAAGAAGCTCTGCTCTCTCCCCAGGGAAGCAGTGAGTGCATATATATTGCACAGTGATATAGTGATAATTACCTGGAATTAAAAAAGAGTGTTATAGATTAAATATATGACAATTTTCAGGATTATTTTTCTGTTTGGTCACTACATGCCAGCACTTGCTATGTCCTTCACATGTAGACATTAGAAGTACGCATCTGAACTGGTTCTCACTGCTTAACTATCAACTGTGTTCACCCATTGAGCTGTTCAAGTTCACAAGACTCATAGCTATGCTTTTCCAAGACAAGTGTTCGTACACCCCCTATGGAGCTACTGCAGACATACCACTTACTGGCCTCACTTCCCCTCTGTATGATTTTTTTCAAAAATATACTATTGGAGTAAAGCACAGACAAATCAGCCAGAACTGCTCTCATGAGCTGTTGGTCAGTGCTCATAACGATGGGAACAGGCATCTCTTCCCATTCTGCCTTCTTGCTGTCTACTGTCAGCTGTTAAGACCTAGTTTCCCTGAGCTTGGGAAAGAAGAAAGTGGGAACCTGTAGGGTTTGTGACTTAGGAACAGTACTTATTCTCAGTACAAACATGGAGAAAAATAAATTAGAGTTAGTAAAGGTCATTGTGTGAACAATAACAGAAACATGTTTACAACTGATATGGCTCAATCTTTTGTTCCCTGTCTTACCCAACTATGCTAATAGTTTGGGTGTAGTTTTATTTTAAGATAAGTATAATTTCATTGACAAAAAAATAACCTTATTAGCTGAATATAAAATGTAGACAATTATATTATAGTTTTTTCTTTTGATGAAATTTATCAAGAAAATGTTTTTATTTTGCTACATTTTGCAACAGGATAATAGAAAGTATCTCCACTTTCTAAGTCTCTTCAAAGCTTCAAAGTTTTGATTTCAAAATTATTTTGTTAATTATTAAATGTTGTATTTAATAGTGATGGGTGAAAATTATTACTTAAAATATCAGCCTGTATCCCTTTCCTAAATGGTAAATATTTCTGCTATTTCATTTTGTTTTCAATTTCACTAAAACAGCAATGGTAGTAATGTGAGGATCAATCAGCATTTTAAATCTAAATATATTTTCAAATTTACACAAAATATTTACAAGTATTAACTTCAGAATGAAATGTGGAAAATATAATTCTAGCCCATGTATTCTTAACCCAGATTCAAATTAATATATTTTACTCTATTACTAAAAAAGTGAAAAGTGGAAGAGTGTAACTTCTTTTTCAGGAGCACATTCTCAAAATATTAACTAACAATGTTCTAATGTGCCTCCATAAAACACTGGAAGTTGAAAGTAATTTTTTACTATATTGAAACGGTTTCTTGCTTCCATAACCGTTAGAAAGCTTTTGGCAATGGGGGTGGGTGAAGTGGGGGAATCATGCATAACTAGATTTTCGTAATAAAGGTAAATTATTATTTTAGTAGAAGAATTTAAATTAAGGAAAACATTTACAAGGTTTCTTTTTCATTAAAAACATATCATAGACCAAAGGTACAGGATTAGGTTTGTATTATATAATCATTTATATTATATTATATTTATATCTGGGACTCCGATACAATCAATTTACTTGCAGTCTTTGAGGACATTCACAGTATAAGGTTAGAGTACCTTCAATTACGAAATTCCCTGGTTGGAAATGTTGTGGTTGACTTCATTCAAGTTGACCAAAATTATAAGTAACTCACTTAATTTTATTGTTCTTCCGGAAAAAGATTCTATAACAGTTGGATACAATTCTGAAACATATTCACACTCACACTCATCTAATTCAGTAGACATTGTTTCAGTGGGTTTGTCTCTTGTTTTCTGTCTCCATCTCTTTTTGAAATACAAATGGTCTTTAAGCCAAACTGTGCTCTTGGCCAAATAGTCTATCTTTTCCATCCATTTCTGTGGCTAAGTTCATCTTCACTGCCCCCTCTTCTGAATTAAATCTCGGCCTCAGCAAGATGTCTAATAAATTTATTCATATTAATGTATAAATGACTGATTGCAGATGAAAGTAGAGATATTTGCATTTTAAAAGAAATAAAGGCCTTAAGCTAAACCATTATTTTTCAAACTGTGTTCCATTGAGTCATAACTGCAATTCTTCAGAGGTTCAAATTCATTATTGCCATAGTTTATAACAATAAAAAAATATGATAAAAACACCCTAAAGTGTTTTTTATAATACTATTTTTTTCCATAGGAATGACTCTCAAACCTTTAAATTGTGTTATCAGACAAAAAACTACTTTCTCTTTTTCTGCTTGTCTTCCTCCAATTAATTGTGTTAATAGGTAGATTCAAAAGGTAGATTTACATATCCACACATATTCATATGTGTATATATATGTATACATATCCATATTCCATTAGTATATAAATAACTGTCACTTTAACTGAAGAGTCTATAGCTGGTCATCTAAAAATACATCTTTGCATATTCAATGAGGATAATTATACAAATGGTATGTTACCACCATAACACATGTGAATCACATGAAATCACCAAAAAACCCACAAGCTCAGGTATTTTAGTTTATCACAGTCAACAAATAGCATAACAGTCAATGGAAATGAAAACCAGTCACAATGCTAATATTTTAAATGAAAGTTGTAATCACTTTTTAGAAATTTTTGCTTATAAGGTAATTAATTGTATTATAGTAAACTAGCTCCTAAAAATAATAGGCTTGTACTGGTTTCTATATCAAGCACATTTTATCCCAGATTTGTGATATTAACATGCTCATAACTGCAATTAAAAAGTCATCAAGGCAACTGAAACAAATTTCAGCTAAGTATGCAGAATGAGATGAATTTAACTAATTACAACTTCAGGTGCACATCTCAACCAGACAACAAGTAACATCGT